CATAGTCGTGGGAAAAGTCTTGCGCAACATGCTTAGCGCTGAAAAACATTCAGTGAACCCACAGAAGCCAGAAAATCCATAAGGTGTCTTCTTCATCATAAACTTCACATGCTCTTTCTTCTTTTTGAGCTTGTAGTTTTCATTTATTTTGTCATCTTCTTTGTGATCCTTTCATTTTGTTCTTTCAGTCTATCTTCTTTCTTTACTTTTATTAGTTCCAGTCATTTGTGCCTACTTTAAGGTTCTTTTTGCTTCTAATATATGCTATACAACTCAACATAATATGTGTACCTGACCTACCAGTTTTCATGTGAACAACATATTATTTCATCTTATTATACAGTCTATAACTGTATATCTTCCTAGTATCATTTCATATTTTAACTGTATAAAAACTTCATATAATATAACTCAGTCAATAGTTTCACACACTACATGATTTATGCTATTCCTAGTGCTAAAATTGAAAAATTAACAAAGACAGACCCAACTCAGTGTTTTGTTTTTGTGAATCATGACATTATTTTGGTGAATCATGACTTTATTTTTTAGAAACATGACTTTTTGATGCATTTAGTTCAATATATGGTGTTGAATATGTCATATTGGATCACTCTAGAATAGTATACATAATATTTTCTAAATAGTGCGCTTCACCCGAGTAAGGCGAGCGCTTTTTTGCGCCTTGCGCCTCAGGCGATAGAAGTACTCTAGCGCCTTAAGTGCGCCTCGCGAATTTGACTACCTTGCGCATTGCAACTAAAAAAAACAATTATAAGTTCTTATGCAATTATTATTAACCTTATGATAAAAAACGAGTTTGAAGGAAGAAACTCTGAAACTGGTTGTAAATGAGTCTGCCTTATTTTAGTTATAAACAATAAATTACAGGTTATTATGAAATGTCATAGAAATGAAAATGAAAAGCACATTACACACCTCAATCTCATAAGCCTACTCCTACATCTAGCTTCCCATTGCTCATCATACGCACACTCCCATTTGGAAATTAATAATTTATTACATAATTGATAATAAACATAACTTAAGGATTCCTTTTTTCTGGTATGTAGAATAACCTAAATGAATCTAGATCATCGGTCAAAACATAATCACAAGTTACAGAAAATTATTCACCTTAAACCCACAAAACCACACCTAATTTTTGAATGAGAGATACACATAATTAACAACAAAGTCTGTTATCAATTATAATAAAATAAAAACTAAAACCACAACACACACCTAAATCCGACAAGTCCACTCTTAAATAGACCTTCACATCGCTCATCATTCGCGTTCAAGACCTATACAAACAAAGCACAACCTAAATAATTTGAAACACATGCCTAAAACATCAAACTTACGCTGCCAAAATATCCCACACAATGAACTTAACAAACATATTCCAATAAAAACTGGTGTCAAACTCTTCGATCACTAGCACATTCATAATCACTAAAGTTTGTGTTGCTTAATGGATTATCTTGTTTGAAGAATGAAAACTGTATTGACGCTACAACTTTTTAAGGCTCCTTTTACTAACTCAAATAGACCATATAATTGAGATTAATGATTGTTAAAAATAAAATTAAAGCACAACACTCACCTTACTCCGATAAACCCATTCTTAAAACCACCTTCATAGTGCCCCATCTGATTCCTCCGTGACCTATGTAAACCAACACAATCCGAATTATTTTTAAATACAATAAAATAATAAAACTTATGCTGCGAAAATAACACATACAATAAACTAAACAAACATTGGTACATAAATCTTGTTTCTAACAGTTTTGACGCTACACAATCCTTAATGACACACAGTTTATGTAGGCTTAGGAACAACATTTTTAGGCTCTTTTTACTCACTCAAGTCGACCTACCACCAAATATTAATTTAATGTTTGATCCCATTTCAAAAAAGTCAAAGAAATTATTTATAATTAACCCTCCCAACTCCCAAGACTAGCCCATCCTTGCTCATTCATATTGGGCGCTTAAACTTAATTGATTACCAAGTTCAAAAATCAAAGGCCACCGAATTTCATGCCACACAAAATACATAACCCACACAAATTTGTGATTACTGATTATATAAAAAAATGTTGACTTGGGGACGACCTTTTCAGGATATTTTTACTAACTCAACTAAACGTATCACCAAATATTAATTTAATGTTTGATCCCGTTTTAAAGAAGTCGAAGCAATTTTTTATAGTTGAGCCTCCCTCATTATAGTTAAAACCTTATCATCAAACCACCTAACTGAAAATAGCACACCTAATTTTTGGATGAGAAAAATACATAACTAATGCTAACAATCAATGTGGTCATTTATGATGCAATTGAAATCGTAAAGTACAACACTCACCTTAGACCAATAAGACAACTCATAAATCCATCTGCCATGTTCCCACTATAACCTGCGTAAACCAAAGCACAACCCAAAATAATATTAAACACACTCCCAAAGAATCAAACTTGCGCTGCGAAAAATAACAAATAGACCTATCACCAAATATTAATCTAATGTTTGATCCCCATTTAAAAAAGTCAAAACAATTAGTTATAATTGATCCTCCCTTAGTATAGTTATAACCTTACCATTCCTTTATTTCTTCTTTCTCCCCATGTCGGTCTCTTGGTGTTGATGGACGGTCGGAAATCTTCAGATCTGAAGACGACGAGGCGAGCAACGAAGAGCGACGGTGCTGCGAGAGACTGAGGCGAGGTAGCAACGGCGACGTTGAGTAGATCGTCAGCGGCGAACTCGCGGCCACGGGCGGGGTGCGGTTGGAACTTAGGGTTGGAAGCTGTGGGCTGGGGGGCAACTGGAATGAGCTGGGGGTTGAGGGCCCAGATCTGGGTTCTGAGGGTGAGGCTGTGGGATGGTGGCTGGGATCTGTGAGGCTGGGGTCCGGGGTAGGCTGAGCGAGCGGAGTCTAGTGTGAATGAGAGTGGCTAGGGTGGGCTGGTGGCGCATGGGATGGGGTAGGGTGGACTGGTGGGGCAGGAGGCGGGGCTGGGGTGTGGTGCGGGGACAGGAGAGGAGGTCGTTGGGGGTTGCAAGACTGCGGAGGAGCAGGGGCCAGGTTGCCAGGTTGTGGATTGCTACCGGTAGTGCACCGCTTGCTGCTGCCGGGGCTGCATTCGTTTCATCGTCCGTCAGGGTTGTGGTCACAAACAAGGCAGTTGAGTACCGGAATAGACCTTATAATTGAGATTAATGATTGTTAAAATAAAATTAAAGCACAACACTCACCTTAATCCGATAAACCCATTCTTAAAACCACCTTCATAGTGCCCCATCTGATTCCTCCGTGACCTATGTAAACCAACACAATCCGAATTAATTTTAAATACAATAAAATGATCAAACTTACGCTGCGAAAATAACACATACAATAAAGTGATAAACTAAACAAACATTGGTATATAAATCTTGTTTCTAACAATTTTCACGCTACACAATCCTTAATGACACACAGTTTATGGAGGCTAGGGAACAACATTTTTAGGCTCTTTTTACTCACTCAAATAGACCTATCACCAAATATTTATTTAATGTTGATCCCATTTCAAAAAAGTCCAAAGAAATTATTTATAATCAAGCCTCCTGAGACTAGCTCATCCTTACCCATTCATATTGGGCGCTAAAACTTAATTGTTTACCAAGTTCAAAAATCAAAGGCCACCGAATTTCATGCTACACGAAATACATAACCCACATAAATTTGTGATTATTGTATAAATAAAATGTTGACTTGGGGACGACCTTTTCAGGATAATTTTACTAACTCAAATAAACGTATAACCAAATATCAATTTAATGGTCGATCCCGTTTTATTTGACCCTCCCTCATTATAGTTATAACATTATCATCAAACCACCTCTAAGGCTCTAATACATAACTAATGCTAACAATCAATCTGATCATTTATGATACAAATAAAAACGTAAAGTACAACCCTCACCTTAGACCAATAAGACAACACAGAAATCCATCTGCCCTGTGCTCATTATAAGCATACGAAACCTGCGTAAACCAAAGCATAAAACAAAATAATATTAAACACACTCCCAAATAATCCAAATAATCAAACTTTGCACTGCGAAAAATAAACCAATAACAAACATTTTTAGATAAAATGGATTCAAGATCACCCGACATTAGCCCGTCCTTATTTATATTGGGCGCTTAAACCTTATTGATTACCCCGTTTAACAATCGAAAACATAATTGATTATCTTGATCGAACATTGAAAACTGAAAAAAGGACACCCAATTTGGTGACCTATGTAAACCATAACACAATCGGAATTAATTTCAAACAAACTAAAATAATAAAACTTACACTGTGAAAATAAAACATACAATAGACTTGGTTAACATTTGTATAGAAAATTGGTTTCTAACTATTTTGACACTACACAGTTCTTAATCACACCCAGTTTATGTAGGCTTGGGAACAAGTTATTCAGGCTCTTTTTACTTACTCAAATAGGCCTATCACCAAATAGTACTTCAATGTTCGATCCCGTTTCAAAAAAGTCAAAGCAATTATTTATAATTAATCCTGCGTCATTAGAGTTATAACCTTAAAATGAAACCACCTCTGACAGAGAATCACACACCTAATTTTGTATTGAGAAAAGTACATAACTAATGCTAGCAATAAGTCTGATCAATTATGATACAAATAAAAATATAAAGCACAACACTCACCTTAGATAAATAACACAACTCTTAACCCTGTGCTCATAATACAAATCTGTGACCTATATAAACCAAAGCATATCCCAAAAAAATATTAAACGCATAGTTGTCACGGCGGTAAGTCGAGTCGCGGCGCCAGCTAACCGCCATATCGCCTAGGCGACAAGGCGACCGCCTAGGCGACAATTAGGCGACTAGTCGCCTAATTGTTTATATTATATATAAAATTATATATTATATATATAATATTATAATATAATTATATAATTATATATTTATTTATATATTATGTATACTATATTATTAACTAAAATGTATATAACTTAGAATTGAAATCCACAATTAATAATTAAAAACAAGGTTTATTAATGGGAATTAAGATTAAAAATGTATATCTCAAATAAGCAGCGTAAAGATCAAACTACTAAGTTCTCAGTTCTCAAAAATCATCAAGGACTAAATCATCTCTACGGCCTTCATTTCCCTGATCTTCATCATCATGAGTAGAAGTGGGTGGTGTTTGACCATAGTCATCTTCAACATCTTCATCATCATTTGGAAAACTTTCTTCTTCATCGTTCATGTCTTCATCAATCAACCTTAATGAAGAATTTGAAGAGTTTGAACCACGGCGTCGATAATAAACTGATTCTCCACGAGAGCTACTAGTTCTAGGAAGATTACGACCTTGAAGACTGCTTGATGCACCCAGAGCTTCATCAACTTGACTCCATAGAAGATCATCACCCGGATGAACAACTTCATTACTCACCCACTCATTGTTCCATTGGAAATCTTCAAATATTAAAGGGTTGAAGTTTTTTCCTTCTTCACGCCGCTTCTGAAATCTGGTTGCTATCTTCCGATTATACTGAATAAAAACCAAGTCATTCAACCTCTTATGCTCCAACCTGTTTCTTTTTTTGGTATGAATCTAAAAAAAAAAAATTAATAAGTGTTTTGATTTAATTAGTTAAAATCTTGTGTAATTTAAAAATTATAGTTAGTATTCAAAATTGTAAGTCTATTACTTACAAACTCAAAAGTGCTCCAATTACGCTCACAGCCAGAAGAGGTACAACAGAGACCAACTATGCGTTTTGCGAACGATTGCAGCTCAACAGCGAGTCCACCAAAAGCATCCCACCAATCAACTATTAATTAATCACAAATAAAATATTAATGAATTTTTAATATATTTAAACTAATTTTTAAATATGATAAAAAAGTATCACTTACGAGGACTCTTAGATTTTTGTTGCTTAATAGCGAGCTGCTTTGCAAAACTTCCTCTCAATTTGTCATAATCTGTCGCTTGATCACTTATCTTGGCCTGCAATGTTTCATCCGTGACCATCTTTTCAAGCACATCGTTAAACATTGATCGTTGCCTTGATGCTGATGTAGGATTCGTTTGTTTGAGATCAAAATATTTAGATGGATTTAAAAACAAAGCTGCCCCGTATAATTTGACCTCCATCTGGACTTCCCATCGTGTCTCAATGATCCCAATTAGGCTTCTCAAAACCCTAGCCTTATTTTCAAATGCCTCGTTGATTTTTTCCTTGGCACAATCCATGGCTAGTGAAAGCTCTGGCATAGCCGGTTGCTCATCAGCATCAACTATCCTCAAGACAACTAAAAGCGGCTGTGAAGCTCGTATGCAATCTTCCACTGCACTCCAGAATCTAGTGGAAAACACAATCTCTCTAACTTTCATCCCTGCTTCTGTGGCAGCCAATTTAGATCTAACCCAATCCAGACCGCTAAATTGATTTCTCAATGCTTCTCTGTGTTTATATAGAGATTGCAAAGTGAGAAACGCGGTTGCAAATCTAGTAACTCCAGGTCTTACAAGATCCTTCCCACCTGTCTTTTGTCTCATTGAATGGAGGATTCTCGTGTGCCGATAAATGAAAGTAGTCACACGTCTTGCCTTGTTAATGTGGGGCTTGAAATCAGCTAATTTACCGATATCCTCCAACATCAAATCCAAACAATGTGCAGCGCATGGAGTCCAATACAGCGTGGGTATTTTGTGCTCTAGAAGCTTTCCCGCAGCCTTATAGTTAGAGCCGTTATCTGTCACCACTTGCACCACCTTGTCTTTTCCAACTTCTTCGATTTTTTTCTCAAGCAAACCTGCTAGCAATGTTGCATCTTGAGATTCTGCTGATGCATCAACCGAGTCTAGGAAAAAAGTACCTTCTGGACTATTGACAAGGAAATTAATCAAGTGTCGATTCCTTCGGTCTGACCATCCATCAGACATGAGTGTGCACCCGTATTCCTTCCAAGCAAGTTCATGTTTTTCTCTGAGCTTCTCTGTTTTTTTCTTTGCTTTTTCAAGAAGTGGTACCCGCAACTCATGATAGCTAGGAGGTTTAAGTCCGGGTCCAAACTGCCCAATGGACTCAACCATGATCTCATAACTTCTGGAGTTTGCTGCATTAAAAGGAATGCCGTTTTCATAAAAAAAATCAGAAATGTGCCCGAAGACCCTCTCTTTCTCCTCCTTGCTTTTTGTGCATTGTTCTAATGTAGTTTGGGTGGGGCCTTTCATATGTCTTTCATCAACAACCTCCTCAGGAGTTTTGCGAATGATGGAGGCAATTGACTTGCTTTGTTTGGGCATTTTTGGCGGAACATTAAAGAATTGTGAGGCAGCATTTTTTCTCTTGGTTGCTGTCCCAGAACTCGGTTGAGGAGTTGAAGTATCTACTTGAGTCAAAGGTACTTCAACATCATCCTCATCGCCATCATCGCCATCATCTTCAATATTGATCGGTTTACTCCTAGATTTCTTCATTAAATATTCTCGCATCTCCCTCATAAGTTCTGTTGTCGTATGAGGACATTTAGCAACATCTCCATACCCGCCAGCTAAATGTTGTTTTAATCTCTTTATGCCAGAACGCATTTGCTTATTGCAGTGCTAACATTGGACTATGTCTTTGTTGTTCAAGTCTGGCCAAAATCCGTGCTTCCATCCCGGGTCATTAGATTTTGCTCTTCTAGCAGGATCTTTAGATGGATCATACACGGTTTCACCTTCATGGTCCTCGTCCGCCATAACTATTGTCTATAAAAAATAGTTTAATATTATTATTTATAGTACGTAAAAGTGAAAAATTAGCATCCAACCAACTAATAAAAAACTAATCAAAACAGAAAGTTGAACTAAAAAATCAGCATCCAACGAAATGATAAAAAATTAATCAAAACACAAAGTTGAACTAAAAAACCAGCATCCAACCAATTGATAAAAAATTAATCAAAACAGAAAGTTGAACTAAAAAACCAGCATCCAACCAATTGATAAAAAATTAATCAAAACAGAAAGTTCAATTATGTAATTAGCATTCAACAAACTGATAAAAAGATAATCAAAACAGAAAGTTAAAATATGTATATTACATATTTGTATACATAATTATATATAAAACAACTTTTAGTAATATTTAATAGTTTATGATTTTATAACATATACTTCGTAATAATTAATGGTTTAATAGTTTTTTATTAAACTAATATCATGCTACCAGACCTATATCACCAGTTCATTTACAGATATACTTCAATACTAATGTTTTAAAAACAAAAATCGGATAAGTTGTGTATTTTAAAAATATATATAACCATGATATGTATTTATGTATATCATAAAAGTATTTTCTTGATTTGTATTTCAAGGTTATTTTAAAATAGTATATCATACACCAGTGTTTTATGCCACAAGGTAAAAATATTTAAGAAAATCAAATATCATAGGATAAAAAACTAATTAAACATAAACTGAAGTATATCATACGTAGAACTCTTATTTTAAAAAGTAATTAAACAAAAACTGAAGTATATCATAGAAATCTTATTTTAAAATAGAAGTATCACATGTTAATTGATAAAACATAAAAATCAAGGTCACAAGTCAAAATAACAAAAATATAAATACAGAAATTAAAATTTAAAATGATAAAAACAAGAAGAGATCGGGAGTCAGGACCTGAGAATGGGCGACCTGCGAGTCTGCGACTTCCTCTTCTTCCTGCGAGTCTGCGACTTCCTCTGTTTCCTGCGATGTTCTTGGCTTGGCTAGTAGCTACGGCTTTGGCGACAACCTCCTCAGGCGTCCGTAAGTTAAATACTGAATTACTGAAGCCTTAATTAAATTATCTTCCTAAAAACGATTTAGCTTCCTAAAAATAATTAAGGCCTAAATTATCTTCCTAAAAACGATTTAGCTTCTTGGATCGGGAGTTCTGGACTTTTGGCCCAGCCGCCCAGTATTTGCGATCTAGGCGAGCCTTCCATCGCCAACCCATCGACTTGGCGACGACTTGGCGACGCCATAGCCGACTGGTATTCTTCTGGCGAGGCGGTTGTTGCAGTCGGTCTTCCTTCACCGCCTGGACGCCTAGTCGCCGCCTAGGCGACGCCTAGGCGACGCCGTGACAACTATGATTAAACGCACTCCCAAAAAATCAAACTTACGCTGCGAAAAATAAACCCATAATAAGCTTATCAAGCATTTGTAGATAAAACCAATTTGTGTTTAATGATTACGAAAAAAATTAAAGCCTAACACACACCTTAATCCGATAAACCCAGTTCTGAAGGTGAGGCTGGGGGTGGTGGCTCCTAGGGAAGCTGGTTGGGCCCAAATAATAAATAATAGATAATAGATAAATAGATAAATAGATAAATAAATATATAGATATATAGATATAATGATATATAGATATATAGATAAATAGATGAATTTATAAGTAGATAAATAGATAAATAGTTAAAAAGATAAATAGACAAATAGATAATAGATTAATAGATAACACATAAATAGATAAACAGATAAATAGATAAATAAATAAATAAATAAATAAATAAATAAATAAATAAATAAATAAATAGATAGATATATAGAGATATAGATATATAGATACATAGATACATAGATAAATATATAATTAGATAAATAGATAAATAGATAAATAGATAAATAGGTAAATAGATAAATAGATAATAGATAATAGATAATAGATTAATAGAATAATAGATTAATAGATAATACATAAACAGATATATAGATATATAGTGAAATAGTTAAATAGATAAATAGAAATAGATAAATACATAAATAGATAAATAGTTAAATAGTTAAATAGATAATAGATAATAGATAATAGATAGTAGATAATAGATAATAATGGATAATGGATAATAGATTATAGAATATAGATAAAAAAAATTGAAAGTAATAGATAATAGAAGATAGAAGATAGAAGATAGAAAGATAGAAGATAGAAGATAGAAGATAGAAGATAGAAGATAGACGATAGAAGATAGAAGATAGAAGATAGAAGATAGAAGATAGAAGATAGAAGATAGAAGATAGAAGATAGAAGATAGAAGATAGAAGATAATAGATAATAGATCATAGATGATAGATAATACATAAAAAGATAAATAGATAAACCAATTCTTTAAACCACCGACATAATGCCCATCAGATTCCTTGGTGACCTATGTAATCCAAAAAAAATCGAATTAATTGTAAACACACTAAAATTTCAAAGTTACGCTGCGAAAATAAAACATACAATAAACTTAACAAACACTTTTATTTAGAAACTGGATTCTAACTGTTTTGACGCTACAAAATGCTTAATCACTCAGTTTATGCAGGCTAGGGAACAACTTTTTCAGGCTCCTTTTGCTAACTCAAATAGACCTTATAATTGAGATTAATGATTGTTAAAATAAAATTAAAGCACAACACTCACCTTAATCCGATAAACCCATTCTTAAAACCACCTTCATAGTGCCCCATCTGATTCCTCCGTGACCTATGTAAACCAACACAATCCGAATTAATTTTAAATACAATAAAATGATCGAACTTACGCTCCGAAAATAACACCTACAATAAAGTGATAACTAAACAAACATTGGTATATAAATCTTGTTCCTAACAGTTTTCACGCTACACAATCCTTAATGACACACAGTTTATGTAGGCTAGGGAACACCATTTTTAGGCTCTTTTTACTCACTCAAATAGACCTATCACCAAATATTAATTTAATGTTGATCCCATTTCAAAAAAGTCAAAGAAATTATTTATAATTAAGCCTCCTGAGACTAGCTCATCCTTACTCATTCATATTGGGCGCTTAAACTTAATTGTTTACCAAGTTCAAAAATCAAAGGCCACCGAATTTCATGCTACACGAAATACATAACCCACATAAATTTGTGATTATTGTATAAATAAAATGTTGACTTGGGGACGACCTTTTCAGGATAATTTTACTAACTCAAATAAACGTATAACCAAATATCAATTTAATGGTCGATCCCGTTTTAGTTGACCCTCCCTCATTATAGTTATAACATTATCATCAAACCACCTCTAATACATAACTAATGCTAACAATCAATTTGATCATTTATGATACAAATAAAAACGTAAAGTACAACCCTCACCTTAGACCAATAAGACAACACAGAAATCCATCTGCCCTGTGCTCATTATAAGCATACGTAACCTGCGAAACCAAAGCATAAAACAAAATAATATTAAACACACTCCCAAATAATCCAAATAATCAAACTTGCACTGCGAAAAATAAACCAATAACAAACATTTTTAGATAAAATGGATTCAAGATCACCCGACATTAGCCCGTCCTTATTTATATTGGGCGCTTAAACCTTATTGATTACCCCGTTTAACAATCGAAAACATAATTGATTATCTTGATCGAACATTGAAAACTGAAAAAAGGACACCCAATTTGGTGACCTATGTAAACCATAACACAATCGGAATTAATTTCAAACAAACTAAAATAATAAAACTTACACTGTGAAAATAAAACATACAATAGACTTGGTTAACATTTGTATAGAAAATTGGTTTCTAACTATTTTGACACTACACAGTTCTTAATCACACCCAGTTTATGTAGGATTGGGAACAAGTTATTCAGGCTCTTTTTACTTACTCAAATAGGCCTATCACCAAATAGTACTTCAATGTTCGATCCCGTTTCAAAAAAGTCAAAGCAATTATTTATAATTAATCCTGCGTCATTAGAGTTATAACCTTAAAATGAAACCACCTCTGACAGAGAATCACACACCTAATTTTGTATTGAGAAAAGTACATAACTAATGCTAGCAATAAGTCTGATCAATTATGATACAAATAAAAATATAAAGCACAACACTCACCTTAGATAAATAACACAACTCTTAACCCTGTGCTCATAATACAAATCTGTGACCTATATAAACCAAAGCATATCCCAAAAAAATATTAAACGCACTCCCAAAAAATCAAACTTACGCTGCGAAAAATAAACCCATAATAAGCTTATCAAGCATTTGTAGATAAAACCAATTTGTGTTTAATGATTACGAAAAAAATTAAAGCCTAACACACACCTTAATCCGATAAACCCAGTTCTGAAGGTGAGGCTGGGGGTGGTGGCTCCTAGGGAAGCTGGTTGGGCCCAAATAATAAATAATAGATAATAGATAAATAGATAAATAAATATATAGATATATAGATATAAAGATATATAGATATATAGATAAATAGATGAATTTATAAATAGATAAATAGATAAATAATTAAAAAGATAAATAGATAAATAGATAATAGATTAATAGATAACACATAAATAGATAAACAGATAAATAGATAAATAGATAAATAGATATATAGAGATATAGATATATAGATACATAGATAAATATATAATTAGATAAATAGATAAATAGATAAATAGGTAAATAGATAAATGGATAATAGATAATAGATTAATAGAATAATAGATTAATAGATAATGCATAAATAGATATATAGATAAATAGTTAAATAGTTAAATAGATAAATAGAAATAGATAAATAGTTCAATAGTTAAATAGATAATAGATAATAGATAATAGATAATAGATAGTAGATAATAGATAATAATGGATAATGGATAATAGATTATAGAATATAGATAAAAAAAATTGAAAATAATAGATAATAGAAGATAGAAGATAGAAGATAGAAAGATAGAAGATAGAAGATAGAAGATAGAAGATAGAAGATAGAAGATAGAAGATAACACATAAATAGATAAACAGATAAATAGATAAATAGACAAATAGTTAAATAGTTAAATAGATAAATAGAAATAGATAAATAGAAATAGATAAATAGTTAAATAGATAATAGATGATAGATAGTAGATAGTAGATAGTAGATAATAGATAGTAGATAGTAGATAGTAGATAAATAGGTAAATAGTTAAATAGATAATAGATCACAGATAATAGATAATAGATATATAGATAAATAGATATATAGATCATTATCATCATATAAATAGATTTATAGATATATAGATATATTGATATATAGATATATAGATATATTGATAAATATATAAATATAAATAGATAAATGGATAATAGATAATAGATATATAAATATATAGTTAAGTAGATAAGTAGATAAGTAGATAAGTAGATAAATAGATAAATAGATAAATAGATAAATAGATAAATAGATAATAGATAATAGATAATAGATAATAGATAATAGATAATAGATAATAGATAATAGATAATAGATAATAGATAATAGATAATAGATAATAGATAATAGATAAGAGATAATAGATTAGAGATAAGAGATAATATATAATAGATAATAGATAATAGATAAGCGCCCACTCCTAATTCCAACTTCACACTCCTCGAACCTTTATCATATGCATTTGTGTGACCTGTGTGTAAACCAAAGCACAATACGAAATATTTTTAAGCGCACGGCCACCTTACGTGGTTAAATTAAACCAAACAATCAACTTAACCAACTTTTGTATATAAACTGATTTTAGACTCTCCCGATCCTACTCCATCCGTAGTCACTCATATATGGAACATAAATTTGAATTGCTAAATAGATCATCTCGTTTGAAAAGTGAAAACCAAACTCACCAGATGTTCCTACCATATAACGTGAGGGTTTTTTGTCCGATAAATTTAATAATCTAGATGAATCTAGAATGTTGAGTAAATACGAGTGAATTTTGGACACTAGTAAATAGTTGTTTCGATTGTTCAGAATGAGGTTCTCGGGCTTCTTTTACAAACTCAATCAACTACCTTTGATATTAAGGTTTCATGCCCTTTGCAGAAAATTGACAACGGCTATTCAATAAGTGAAGGTTTAGAAATTAATCTTAAATTATTCTTCCTTCATTACTTTTTTCAAAAGTAAAACTTCAGAAAAAAATAGGACACTAAGCTTAACTTTAAAAAATTACATGAAATACAAATTATTAACAAATATAAAACAATAGGAAACTATAAAATCAATGGTTCAGGTAAATAACATACCGAGCAATTTTGTTGCAAAATTTCTAAAATTTGATTCGCACATATTTTTACCAGTGCCATCATCACTCTCCATATTCATCTGCCAAAACCTTCCCTACAGTCTGAAAAGTAGAGGACGGTTAGAGAAGTGCAAAGAAGACAAGGATACTATTGACCTCATTATACTTTTTCAAGCTCTATAAACTTACTTCAGGATCTCGAAGCTTCAATTTCTAGTAGGACTTTGTCCAGTTGAAAGGAACCAACTGCAGATTATCACTGCCATCATCATGCCCTTACAAACAATTCTTTCTCTTCCACTTACTAGATAAATATGAACTCTCTCGGGGCAGTTTATGGCCATTGGAAACCGTTTCAACACCCACATCAACTTTAGCAACCAGTACTATTGCTCTAAGTTCCAATTGCAGTATCACAGTTTCGCTCAATTCACTTGAGCTCGTGTCTGGAAGGCAGCTGTAAATTCAAATTCAGAGTGTAATCTAAAGAAGCATGTGTAATCCTACAGCATACAAACTGTTGATAGAAATGCTCAAAGTAATGTAAAAATGGGAATGCATATCACATATAACACATGCAGCTAAAACATGATGAGTTATGGACAAATCATCAACAAGTATGAAACAATAAGAAATTATAAAATACTGCTTCCCAGAAATAACATACCAAACGATTTAGTTGCATAATTTCTAAAATTTGCTTGGCACTAATTTTGTCCCATACCGTCACTCTCCATAAGCCTTGCCAAAACCTTCCCTACAGCCTGAAATGTGGCGAACTGTTAAAGAAGTGCAAAAAAGACAATAATATTATTGACTTCATTATACTTTCCTAAGCTTTAGAAACCTACTTTAGGATCTTGAAGCTTGAATATCTAGTAGGACTATGTCCCATTGAAAGGCACCAACTGGAGATTCAGGCTATCACTGGCATCATTATGCTCTTACAAAGAACTCTTTTGACTTCCACTTACTAGATAAATATGAAACCTCATTGGGCAGTTGATGGGCACCTGCGAGTGACCTGAATATAAAGCTAAACACATCCCGAACTAATTATAACCGAAAATAATCAAAATTTAACTGCGGAATTAAACCAAACAGTGAAGATAACAAATTCTGTATGTAAACAAGTTTAAAACTGTCTCAAAGTTAAGCTTTTGCCTGTCCTCAAGCAAACTGAACAACGGGACTTACGATAATCACCACACGAAATCAAAACAATTAGCATGCACAGGTAGTTAAAGGGATGTTCACAGAACAGACAGACTAAACCAAGAAAATTCCTCCTTAAACTACATCTTTGTACTCTAGCTAAAATATTTGACAAAATTATTCAGAACATCCTCAAAGTAGTGACAGCATACACTAATAAACTAGCTACCGATCAGAAGGACTTGTGAAGGCGGTGGTGAATGGTGAATGGTAAATGGTTAGAAATAAACAGTCCCTTTTCTTGAGAGTGCGGAACATCCTAACAAAGACTTAATGCATTCAGGAATTTCGGGGCTATTCTTGGGATCAAGGAGCTCAGTAGGCCACCAATTAGGAACTATCATTTAGACCTATGCAAAGAGTAGACATGGTGTACAACTAAGCTAAACCGCCGCGGCACATTGGTGCTTTGACGTATACTTGAAGTACGCGAAGGACTAATGCTAATTTTGCAAAAAGCCTTCAAGTTCATTTAATAAAGTTCAGTTTTCCTTGTCATGTTGGCACGAGAACGCCATTTCTTTCGAAAGATACCCAAGTCTCATCTTATTGTGCTAACACTTACGCTTTTTGACCGGGGCTCCCATTCTCTTTTTCGCAAGGTAAGAGGTCTAGCTATAATTAATTTTTTCAATTTTCAGATTTTTACTAGACATTACCCCATTCTAATCTCGGCCTCACCAAGGAAAATTAGCAATTAAAGTTCATTTAAACAGGTGAATCCAAGCCTACAATGCAATCCTCGAAAATATCAAATTCCTAAACAGTGACTACTCTTACCCCATTTGGGGCATAGGAACAGTGCCAAAAATGACTCCTACAAAAACTCCCTAAACTTAGCAAATTAATCCCCTAGTTCCTTAAACACCAAGACTTTGTCAGAAATGTTCACGGGTAAGGAAACACAGGCCATTTGGCTATGGAGCTCAATTAATTGGGTAAAGAATAAATGGTCAGGCTCAAAGTGGCTTCTCCTAAAGGACTTATTCAGGTAAGATGGAAGATTTATGAATTCAATGGGTGACTAGTGCCTTCATCCTCTCAACAAGTAGATTATAGTGCAAGCAATTTAAGCCTAAACACTTCAAAGATGTTCTAAAAGCATAGTCAAAACTCTAGCCAGCTCACAAAGACACAGTTTAAAGAAAAAATTTACAAAAATTTGACATGACTTTCCTATGAATATACAAATAACATCTGCGCATGCTAACAGAATTAATCTCATGTAACAACTACTGCCCGAATGCCCAATTCACTCCCACACACTTAAAATTTGGCATAGCCCTTGATAACCAAATATACACTATGCACAAAGGGGTAAGGGTAAGCCCTTGAAAAGGGTCACGCGTACTCATCTCAACTCAAGTCAACATTACAAACAAGCGAGTGATAGAGTCATGGAAACTTCCCTAAGGTGTTGGTCGGTGCAGAACGAAACTGGGTCAATTTGTAAACCGCAGCGTATCATCAAAAAGCAAACTTTGTGCTGCAAAACAATCAAACAACAACAAAGTAGAGTAGGGAGTGATAGTGTGATAGTGTAATATACATTCATCCAACAGAACAATCAAAGTATAGCAGCTAACGGAGGACAAGTAATCAACTATCTACTGTTCAGGAGGAGGTGGCTAGGAGGAGGGGGTGGCGGGGGGGCTTCAAAGAATGATCTCCAACTGGTCTCAAGAGAAGTGAGACGCTCATCGATCCCCTAAGTGAATTTTGTCGGATGAATCTAGAATGTTGAGTAATTCAGGTGAATTTTGGACATTAGTAAGGTATGACTACCCTCTATAATGCTCTCTATTAATGCAGAAAACGTCAGTAATTCAGTTTATACTTTATACAGTTATAGTTTAGAACTATACGAAACCGTATGCTAAAGCAATAGTTAAAAAAACTTCAGTTCATTTAATACTTCAAGTTTGAGTTTATAACTTCAGTTTATACTTCATACAATTATAGTTTATAACTTTATATAGTTATAGTTTATACTTTATACAATTATAGTTTATAATTTTATACAAAACATAATATGAAAGCAACTGTTAAAAACCACTTCAGTTCATTTTGAGTTTATAACTTCAGTTTATACTTCATACACTTACAGTTTATAATTTATACAATTATAGTTTATAACTTATACAAAACATTATACGAAAGCAACTGTTAAAACTTAAAAACCACTTCAGTTCATTAATACTTCATTTTGAGTTTATAACTTCAATTTATACTTTATAGTTTATAGAGTTATAGTTTATAACTTTTATAACTTTATGCAAAACAGTATAATAAAAAATCAGTTCTTAATAGCTAATAGATTTCTCTTCTTTTCTGTAAACTGAAGGCAAGTAATAAAATGAAGGCAAGTAAACTGAAATATCATTGAATTAGCATGTCTATCTAAATTCAGTTCTTAATGCATGTCTAAAGCCTAAACTGAATTTAGTTCTTAATGCATGTCTAAACTGAATTCCAGTTTAGTAACATACTAACATTTATCAAATTCAGTTTAGAACTTAACTTAAGAACTGAAATTCAGTTTACTAACATTTATCAAATTCAGTTTAGGATTCTGAAATTAGCCTGCATTTCAGTTTAGCCTGTATTTAGCACACCTGCATTTAGCCTTCTCAAATTTAAAGCCTTCTGATGTTCAGTTTAAACTTGAAATTTATATTTTAAACACTCAAAGTATCAGAAATTTAAAAGCTGATTCAGTTTTTACTCTTTTAACTTGCAGAAGACGTCTACTGCCTTCGCTAAGGAGTTTTGTGAGAAACGGAACGAAAAAAACAACAACGACCTACGATGAAAATACTGGGGATGTTGTTCGATGATGAGGAGTGCGATGATTGATGATGATTATGCCATAACCATCAAACAAAAACAAGCTAACAAGCCTAAATCCTAACATATTTTGCAAGACATGAAACTTTTTTGAATATTATGTTTTTTGGAAGTACTTTAAACAATTTTAACTTCACATGTTTTGATTAGAATGTTGTTATTCAACTTTTTTTCATGTTTTGGTGGTTGGGTTGATGAATTATAGTGTCTATCATTTCTTTTGAAGTTTTTTTGTCACGTGGCGACGCCATATTTGCGCCATCGCCATGAAAAATGGCTTGTGCGCCATGGATGTCGCCATGCTTCATGACAACTATGCCTGCGCGTGACCTGTACATTTGATAGGAAGATGAATCCACATAGAGACATAGAGTCATAGACAAATTTAAAGGATATGCTCGGATCCCAAACAATGCCAAGGGCAAAGATAAAAATGATACGGGAAGATATTTTCTTTCGATAAAAGACATACTACGTATTATTTATCAACAAATATATTGTTTCTTTCCACATATATTTTTAAGCGTACCTCATACTTGTAACTTAGAGCCGTTAGAGGCATCACCTCATCCTCTGAAAAGTCCTCCAGAGTTAGGAGCCCATCCATTAAGTTTTCTAAGTGTACCATATTATCATCACAGGATCCATTTGTGAATAAATATTGAATTGCCATGTTTGTACTGCTGAATCTGCATGTAGTGGGGAAAACATGAAAGATCCAAAACAGAAACAATAAAACACAATAAATACTTTCTTGATGGAGATAACTTACCAGTGCCATCACTGGTTCAGTTGCAGAATTTCTAAACATTACTTGGAACATACTTCGTCATGTGCCATCACACTCCGTGTAGTTCCTACCAAAAACTTCCCTGCTTCCTGCAAAGTAGTGAACAGTTAAAGATGTGCAGAAAAGATAGAAAAAGATATTATTAATGATTCTATACTTTTCCAGGCTTCATAAAACGAACTTTAGGAAATTGAACCTCGAATTTCCAACAGAAAATTATTAAAATATGAACTCAGACAATAGTATGTATCCTAAATTCATAACTATAGGAGAAACTACAGCTACTTGAGCTTTTACGGGCTTTCTTGTAGGCTTGTAGCGTAGACTATGGCCATCACCGTACCATAACAATTAATTCAAATGAATTATTGCACCATCCAGAATTATCCTTGCGCATACATATATCATGAGACGGGCAACTCTGACCAAGCAAATTAAACAAAACGAGCCATCAACCAAATTTCTCCCCTCACTTGTAGAAGAGAAATAAGGAGAAGCCACAGGTCACTGCAGAGTCCGAAACTCCTGCTTTGGTTCTTCTTTGAAGTACGGGTAGTATGCCGGTGTATCACTGCCGGACTACCAGGTCATTTTCCACGACGGAGAAGGAGACGCCAGAGGTACCACCCGTGCCGAGAGTGCCGCCGAAGAACCTGTGCAGACTTCTTTCTGTTTTCATACTGCGCTCACATCGGAGAGGGGATCACTGGAGTAACAAGAGAGCGCGCCTGGAGGAGGACACCACTGCCATGCACCCAATCGCCAGACTGAACGAACTTTCCACGTCGGAGAAGGAACGAACGCCGGAGACGGGCACTGGAAGCAAAGGACCGTTGTCGGTCCATCCTCTGCCCTCAAGATAGGTAAGGTCGTCTCTCGTCTCTTAGCCCTGCGTTTACCACCGATTAGGCACAGAATATGAAATGCATATGGTTTGTTTTATTTTACTGGCCGCATGTCTTCCTAATAATTGGGCTTAAGATTTGTTAATCGGAAGTGGTTAATCTACTCATGGAGTTTGGACAAGAGCATTAATAATTATAATAACTTTTTTTTACATTCATCTAAACCTATTATAATATCTATGAGACGGGCAACTATATCAATCAATCATCATTTACCCCAGTGCCGCAAAGGCTCCCACCTACGGTGGGGTAAGGGGGGGTCGGATGTACGCAGTCTTACCCCTGTACTAAAGCACAGAGAGACTGTTTCCAGATGACCCATAATGAAAATCGCGTCTAAAATTGCATGGACTGACTGCTGCTTCATAACAAAGAAGAGCAGAGAGTTTGGTGAGCCATTTTGCTTTATTCGGGCAACTCTTGAGAGAAAAAATAGGAGCACACGCATGGTTTTAAAAAGCGTTTAGCTTTTACGCCCTTGAGGCGCAAAGGCGCAAAGGCGTTCATTAATCGCCTGTAAGTCCTAAGCCTTACCTCCCGTTAACAAGGCTTACGCCTTTCTTTTGCTGAGGCGTCAAAGTGGGCGGTGGGCGCAAAGCGTAGACAAGGCGTACGCCTCTAATTCTATGCAAGTTGGGCTTATTTTATTTATTTATTGGGGGCCTTGTTTTATTTTCCATCGTAAATATCTAGTCGCGTCGCTCGTTTATCAGTTAGTCGACATCCCTAGTCCTCGCATATCGCTGTCTTCAACTATTCTACGATATTAGCAAGCAACAACTTGAAGAGCTGCTAAGTCGAAGCTCCAGTACGAAGACTTCAGGAACTGCTTCTTGCTTCGTCCAAGTAATTATAAATAGCACCGCCCTCCTATAGTTTCTTATGGTTTTTATTGTTTTAACTTTTTAGTATTTTTATCTAAAGTTTTAGATATTTAAAAGTTCATTTTTTGGACTATTTAATACCATCATCCCTTTTTTTATACGAAGTAACTAATTAACTGAATTAAAATTTTATTTAACGCTTTTAGACTTGAACTACTATTTTTTCTTCCAGAGTATTAGTCTGTGGGAGTACTACTACTTATTCTACCAGAGTAGTCTATGGTCATTCTGATGTTTGTCTGTTTTTAATTTAACACTATAAGTTATTACTTATTGTTATATTTATTAGCCTACGGCCTAAACTTTAAAGTTTTCATACAAAACTATCATTTAGCTTAATAATTATTTGCTTAATACTCTGTATTTACTAGTTTGCTTGACTCAAGATTTACAATTTAATTAGAAATATTATATTTAACTTCATTAGAATTTAGTTGTATACTTATTTCATTTTTACTTGTGATTTTGTTTAGCTGCACTATTGTTATGAATCATCTAAACTATTGTTATGCATTTAATTTCGAGGCTTACGCCTCATTACGCCTCGAGGCTTACGCCTCGTGAGGCTACCACTGAACGCCTCGAGGCCCGATTTCGCCTTTCAAAACCTTGAGCACACGGTGTGCCTCACTTGTCTTCCCATGATTATTTTTCCGAAAATACTTGCTGCAATTCAACTAGAGCAGCAGTATATATCTTTCTCAAGGAGTTTCCATTTTTAATAACCTATAGTATGTTCTGCCTTATGATGTGATGGTTGTTCCTAAAACTTCAAATTATAAGGCTAATTTTGCTAATTTGATTTTGACGTGGAAAAGTAAAGATGTGAAAAAGAAAAATAGGGATGTAAAACAATATTCATAATATTTGCAAGGATGAAAATATATTTTAATGCTAATTTGAAAACGTGTGAATCGATGTGGATTTAAATGAGATTGAATATTTTCATTAAGCTGAGTGGACAAGGCATGTCAACATAGTTAACGGTGGTTAACCATGAAGGGTGAAAAAAGATAACTATGTAAATTGCGAGGATGAATATCAATTATTGTGCTGATAAGAAAAATATCTCATATTTGCAGGGATGAAAAACATACTTAAACCTTTTATTATTGTGCTGATAAGAAAAATAAAAAAATAAAAAAATCCAATTATGGTTACCAAGCTAACTTCAATTCGACTAATTTTGATCATCTGCCGATTCAGGTGAATTTCTTGCCGACGATACCCTACGTCCCCATGATGATTGTATTCATCATGAAACTTAAGAAGAACTGTAACTGGTGAGAGCCAAAACTAACATGAACTCTAACGTATCACAGAATAGCCATTTCTTAAATAACACAAACTTTACATAAAACCAGACACGAAGAAAGACAGTGTGTGAAATTATTTCATTCGCTTATACATGACAAAATTTGGTACGGATAAACCCATGAGTTCAAATACCTTAAATTTCAGATTTCAAATACATGTAACACTGTTAGACCTACATAGCAATTGCACAACAAGGA